CCTGAATCTGGTGACTCTGGGCTCCCAATGCCCCCTCCCCTGACTTCCTCCTCCCTTCATGAATCAGCTTGCTTTGCAAAGGGTGTTTCCTGCTCTGGGCACTACTCGGTGTTAATCTGGATCATGCCTCACGATCTTTTCTAGTTTCTTTTCTGCTGCTGTGAGAGAAAAGACAACAATAAAAAGCAGCTTTGGGAGAAAAGGTGGGTTTTAGCTCATAATTCTGGGTCACAATCCATCACAGCAGAGAAGCCAGGGCAGGCACTTGAAGCTGCACCACAGCCAGAGCAGAGAGAATGAATGCCTGTGTACTTATGTGCGCCCAGCTCCCTGTCTGTGTTCACACAGCGCAGGATCTCCCACCCACAGTGGCTGGGCCTTCCCACATCATTTAACACACAAGCAAGACAATACCCCCGAAGCTGTGCCCACAGGCCAACGTGACCTCTACAGTCCTTCATGAGCCTCTCTGGGCAGATAATTCTAGGTTGTATCAAGGTGACAAAACTATCACACCATCTAACCCACAATTTTAAATTTTACTGAACACAACCATTTTCTCATTATCTACAAGAACTTTTCATTTCTACGTGTGTGTGTATGTGTATCTCTCTGTGTGTGTGTGTGTGTGTGTGTGTGTGTGTGTATCTTACATATTGTGAGCTATGGTGTGATAATAATACATGTACTCAATGTGTCATAATCGACCAGGGTAATGGCATTTTATTCCCATTTCCTTAAAAACATGAGGCTCTAACTTAAGGGAAAAAAAAAAAAAAAACAAGAATTGAATTGCAGTCAGTTCCATTTTTTTAAATCAATTTGAATTCTGTGCAGCATACTCCAGGTAAATAAAGGATTTCGATGTTTTTCAACAAATATCACACAGTGGTGTGGGGGGGGTAAGCACTTGGGTAAGATGTAGAAGCTAACAGGAGTTACCTCTGTCTCAGTCCGTGTTCTGGTGCTGTGAAGATATGTCATGAGCATGCCAACTTTTACATACCGTTATATTCTACATACATCTATTATTATTATATTTACACTCATATTCTGCAGGGCTAATTAAGGTCAGGGAGAAAGGTGAAAATTTTATCGAATTTCCCTCGCGCTGAGTACAGCATTGCAGCCCCAAAGCAAACAGACTGTTGGGAGGCACAGTGGGACTCGGGTTCAGGTTTTTGGACATTTTCTGGTTTTGTTGATTTTTGTTTGTCTGTTTTCAGTTGACTTAAGTTTATTTGTATTTTGTGGCTTTATTTGTATCACTGGGGGTGAAACCCATGTCTTCTCTAGGCAAGCTCCGTGCCTCTCAGCTGAGCCCGAGTAAGTTTCCACTCAGTGTCAGGTGCTGCTCCATGGTTACCCAGTGTTCTAGATGGGTCCTGGTCACGACGTAATGGTCCAGACTTCTCTCAGCTGACTCACCTAGTAACAGTACTATGGATGAGATCTTTAATCCCTCAAACCACCTGTGACTTAAGCTTCCTCTCGCCCACCTTGCTGTCTCCCTCCCCCGGCACATTCCAGGGCAGAAAAACCTGAGTATGACATCATCATACCTAAGCATGACGTCACCACACACGTCAGGGACAATGATGAAAATAAAAACGAAGAAGCTGGCAACCTCGTGGACGTCAGGGTCCAACTTCTCCAGCCTTTGAGCCTGGGCTCAAACCGGAGACTTTCCAGAGAGCTTCCAGCCCTCAGCCTGAAGGGGGCAGCATTCCTGGCCGCTGCAGCTTCCTAGACAGAGCAGGTACTGGCTTCCCCCACTCTCCGCCTTGCAGACAGCTGTGTGGAGCCTCTGGGGTGTGGACAAACCTAAGAAGACCCCCCTTATGGTCATATTATATTCTATTAGTTGGGTTCCTCTAGAGAACCCTAGCTTTTAAAAAACACATAAATGCAAATGGAAATAGAGTTGTTTCCGCTTTCAGATGACATAATTATCTATACAAAAGTCCCAAGGAATTTACTCACAAACTGGATTTAGTGAAAATTCATCAGGTTACATGACGGCAGATACACATAAAAAATAAAGTGTAATTCTGTACACCAGTCATGAACACACGGTGCCTTTCCGCTGTGATGGCCTCCCCATCAGAACAGGCCCTTGCAACAGAGCCCCCTCCACAGCCTTCTATTGGGGAGGAAAGATGAGGTGCTGTCCGTCAGCCCGCAGAGGAAAGTGGGGTCCTCTTGGGGAGAAGACTGCTGAGTACCTGACCTGGTGGCACTGACCTGTGAGTCCAGCTACTCAGGAAACTGGGGCAGGAAGATCCCAAGTTCAAGACCAGCCCGGACTGCAAAATGAGCTCAAGGCCACTGAGGTCGACTTAGTGAAACCCTGCTTCAAAATGTAAATCAAATAAAGTAGCCAAGGGGACCATGGATGTAGCCCAGGAGTAGAAGGGCCACAATCACCAGGATCCTGGCTTCATTCTCCAGCACCAAGGAGGAAAATACAGGAAATCATACTGACACAGTTTGGTTGTTTTTGTCAACCAATTCCAAAAAATAAATATTTAGGTGTAGGTCTAACAGAGAACCTACAATAGTATATGGTGAAAACTACACACTAACTAAAAAGTCAAGGAGACTGAAGAGAAGACTCAGTGTCTAAGATCACTGGCTGCTCTTCCACAGGACCTGGGTTCAGTTCCAGCACCCACATGGTGGCTCACAACTCTAGTTCCAGATCATTGCCGGCCTCTTCTGACCTCTACGGGCCCTGCACCTGCATGCAGGCAAAAACTACTCATACACAAAATAAAATTAGTAAGTCTAATCAATAAATAAATGGCAAATGAATGAAGACGCGTGTTGTTTGTGTGCTAGACAAGTTAGCACAGTAAAGATGGGACACTCTTCAAACTCATCACCATCTTTGCAAACACAGGCTGAGAGCAAGGGATTGGAATAGCAAAAACTATCTTGAAAAGAATAAAGAGTTTGGAAAGCAATTGGCCCAATTTTAAGACATATAGCTACAGAAATGAAGATGTGTGACATTGGCCAAGGAATAGGCACAGGGCAGAATAAAAAAATAAAAATCCAGACACAGGCCAATGCGGTATGTCCCAAATAAATCTTTAGCATTTGGGGTTTTTTTTATTGTGGTGTGTGTGTGTCTGTGTGTGTGTGCTCACCCACTCACCTGTGTGTAGGGGTGCATGCATGCCACTGTGCTGTGTCAGAGGTCAGAAGTTACCGGGCTCAGCAGCAAACACTTTGACTCACTGAGCCATCTTGCAGCTCCTAAATAATTTTTGATAAAAATGTAAACTAAGTCAAGAGGTGGTGGGGCATGCCTTTGATCCCAGCACTCTGGAGGCAGAGGCAAGCAGATCTCTCTGAGTTCGAGGCCAGCCTGGTCTACAGAGCTAGTTCTAGGACAGTCAGGGCTACACAGAGAAACCCTGTCTTGAATAAAAACAAAAACAAAAGAAGTAAAATTGATGCACTACAAAGAGTTTTCAACAAATGGTACTGAAGAAATTAAACACCTGTAGGTAAAAGGACCATGCTGGCAAACCTAGAACATGAGAGATGGAAACAGGGTCAGGAGTTCAAAAACAGCTTCAGCTACACAGTGACACTGAGGCCAGCCTGAGCTGCATGAGATTCTCTCTCTCTCTCTCTCTCTCTCTCTCCTCTCTCTCTCTCCCTCTCTCTCTCTCTCTCTCTCTCTCTCTCTCTCGGAAAATATTCAAGCAGGAATATTGAAAGAGGGAAAGTTGTAGAGAACAGAATCAAAACTGCACCAGGAAGGAGTGGAAAGGAAGAGCTGAAGTGAGGGCTGGAGCAGCTGGGGGCTGGGAGCAGCTGGGCTTCTCCAGTAGGGCCAGTGTCTCTTGGACCCCATGCTAGAGCACAGGAGACACATCAGCAAGATGTCCTCAGAAAAGGCAAAACAAACAAACAAACACAGTTTTACATTAAAAATAAGCAATAGAAAATGGCTTATGGTTTATCTACTTCAAACAGTTCATGTTCTTTATTGGTAATGTGGAATAAATGTTGAGACTATTTGAAATTGCACCGGAAAAATCTCCTACCATCTAAACTATAATTTATTTCAAAACAAGCTAAAAGTCATTAAGAAAGTATCTATGTGCCCAAGATCAACCCATCCAAAATCCCAGTATGGATGGAGGGGACTATAGCACAAATAATACTGACTAGTTCAGTTGGTAGAGCATGAGACTCTTAATCTCAGGGTCATGGGTTTGAGCTCCACGTTGGGTGCTAATTTGTAGCATGAATAATATAAACCCACAGACAGACATATATTGGGGTTCAAAATGAAGATCAGTAAAGCAAAGCAGCCAAGTCACCAGAGAGCTCTTACCTCTACCAAGACTGAGGCAACCCTGTCCTCAACATAGCTGGAGACTAATTGCCAGCTCTGAGACACTGGTCCTGTCTTATATACCTCTCTAGTGTTGGGATTAAAGCCGTGAGTTCTGCTTCTCTTTTAGACTGATTCCCTCTCATGTAGCCCTGGGTGGCCTTGAACTCACAGAGTTCCATCTGCCTCTGTTTCCTGAGTCCTGGGATTAAAGGTGTGTGCCACCACTGCCTGGTCTCTATAGCTGTGGCTAGCTTTGCATTCTGATCTCCAGGCAAGCTTTATTACATCATAAACAGGGACTTGTGAAGACCCACCCTTAGCTGAGGAGCTCCTGCAGGCAGTTGATGGCTGCTGGGGAGGTAGAGTCAATGTTCTTCAAGGATGCAGCCCCTGATAGGCCACCCACACTCCAGCAGACGTTACTATGTACATCCAGGCAGAACTAAAGGGACTCAGTGAATTACAGAAAAAAAAAAAAAAAAAAGCTATGATGATGAGAGGTGGATTGATGGGGGAGGGGAGAAATTGGGAGGGAGAGGATGGGGTGGATTTTATGAAAATATAAAACATGCATTATGAAATCCTCAAACAATAAGAAATTATTGAAAACATTTTCTTTTAAAACAAAACGATGGTTTATTGAAGGGAGCGTGCTGCTCCACGCACAACTCAAGCAATTTTTACAGCTGCCTTCCCATCTGCATACAACAGAAATACTCCCAATTTTGTCAAATTATTAAAAAGACTGTTACTCGAGTATCAAGACTTAGGAAAGCCAGTGAATTCCATTGCACCACTAGGTCACTACTAAGTGAAACTAGTTCTTTGTTTTAGAAGTATACAGCAGTGAACACAACAGCGACTCCAGTGCAGGCTGGGATCACTGCGAGACGCCCAGTTTTCCCATCATAGACTTTGAGCTTCTAGCAAAATAACAGTAAATAGAGCAAACAATGCACAATAAACAAATGAAGAAAGAATCCTAGGATTGGACTGTCACAATGTATCAATCCCTGATAAATTACCAGACCTGAGCAATGAGCATCAATGGTTATTGTAGCGTCATGAAAAGATAAGTGGGGAGATAAAATGTGACCATGGATAAAGACATGGCCTCCTGAAGACACCAAAAGAATCAAAACAGCCTGACCCTCACCTCTGCATCAGGTGCTAACTTACAGAAAACATAAAGGGCTAGCCAGTGTGTTAGATGGGGCCTTGTGTGTGCAGGCAGCCAAATCCAAGTGTGGGAAACTCTTCACCACAGGCAGCTCAGACTTCTCAACAAATTTAATCTTAACAGAAAGAAAGGGTGAAGAAAAACACCTGCAAGTCTAAGAGACAACACAGACAATGGAGTGTGGACTCAGAAATGTACACTTGGCTGAGAGGCTGTTTAAAAAAACCCACATGGATAGTGTGTGCCTGCCGGTATTTATTGGCCAAGGCACATGAAGCAACTTCCACAGAGACTGCCAAGATCTGTGTCTTGTTGAGCTGGTGTTACAAGGGTTTTCCTTAAATAAGTCATTGAATTATGTATCCACTACAATTACCTGTGCCTGTTTTACTTTACAACACAAGGGATTTTGAAGGGACTGGAAAACTGTAAGCTATGGTTGAAAGATAAAGACTCGGGGTTCCCCACTTACAGGGTTAGGGTCAGATCACAGAGACCAAAACAACTTGGGACTGGAATGAACAGGTCCTAAGGGAATTTCTAGACAGTGTCCTGGAAACGGAGACTACTGAAGTACAGACAGGAGGCAGAAGGGCCACATCTCATGACTCTAGAACCAGTGTTCTTTACCCAACCCAAGGCCCCAGGCTTTCAACACTCCTTCAGGCTGGGGAGAAGCTTCCATTAGGATCTTACTGGGGATGATGTGGAAAAGCTCTTGAGACCTACAGAAACAATGGGAGGGTCTCAGAAGGCTTCCTACCCTCCCATTCCAGAGACTCGGGAGACAATCACCCAGCCAGAGGCACCTGTGTCTCCTCCACTCCTTGGTGTCTTGATGGGCCAGCCAAAGACAAGGGATGGGAACACTTACCTCATGGACTGACTGGGTCTCCACAGATGCTGAAAAGAAAGAATGGGGTCCCCAGTCAGAATCAAGCATGATTTTCCTGGGTGGGGGAGGTGGCCTGCAATGCCAGCACTCCCCTCTGCTTACCCCTGGACTCCCCTGGCTTTAAAAACACTATCACAGTGATACCTGAGCACAGCCCGCCTTCCCCCACTCAGATCTTTACAGTAAAGGAAGCTGGAGGAGGAGAAGCCACAGGGTAGATGGGAAGGAAGGCTCTCCTCAGAGCCTCGGAAGTTTGTTACCTTTCCGAGCCTTGAGGTGGATAACCACGCCTACCAGGAAGACAATTAGTCCAAGCAGGAATGCTACACCTCCACTCAAAATCTTTTTCCACGAATATTCAGACTGAGCCACTATGGGAAACAAGATTTAAAGTCAATGTAATGCTCACAATGCTAATGCAACTTCTTTAATGTTTGTTTTTCCCGTATAGCCCTGGTTGTCCTGGAACTCACTCTGTAGACCAGGCTGGCCTCGAACTCACAGATCCTCCTGCCTCTGCCTCCTGAGTGCTGGGATTAAAGGTGTCGCCACCACCACTATGCTGGACACAACTTCTTAAAACCCCAAAGCCTGTCTTGGCCGGACCCCATCCCAGTGCTGCTCAGGGAGGAGTTAAATCTAGAAATGTGTGCGTGTGTGTGTGTGTGTGTGTGTGTGTGTGTGTGTGTGAGTGTGCGTGTGTGATGTGTGCATAGACCAGAGGCTAACTTCAGGAGTCATTCCTCAGGTGCTGTGCTGTTGTAGCTGTAGTTGTTTTTGCATTGGGTCCTTCACTGGCATGCAGCTCACTAAGTAGGCTAGGCTGGGTGGCCTGTGAGCCCAGGGACTGCCTGTCTCCACCTCCCTGGCCCTGGGACTACAAGCAGCCACTAGAGCTCTGGGGACCAATTTCAGGTCCTCATGCTTGCATGACAAGAGCTTTACCAACTGAGCCACTCCCCCAGTCCTGTCCCTGACTTAGAGCCCATTGCAGTGTCCCTAAAGACTAAAGTGCTAAAGAACACTGGTCCTAGGGTGGAGGCACGAGGTGGGTCAGTAGCCCTCCTCGTCTCTTGTATGATCTGGGATGGCTCTGCGGATGGCTGCCCTGCCCTGTTCTCTCCCACCCTGGCCCTGGAATTCTCAGATCAGGGAACCTTGTCTTGTGATCAAGATGCACACAGAAGTGACACAGACCCCACAGGCCAAGCCCCAGAAATAAAACAAACAAACTAAAATACTAAACAAAGCTCACTCCACTCCACAGAAACAGGGCTCTCGAGGCTGGGGTGCTCCACGAGGCAGCTGTAGGTGTCACCAAGCTCTGGGGTCATTTCCAACATTACTGTCATCTGGAAGGTCCAGTCTCCGTTCCTGACAAGGCCGGTGGACATGACCCCAGACCTCTCCTCCTGTCCATTCCGAAACCACCTAACTTTTATGTCCCCGGGGTAGAAGCCTGTCACAGAGCAGAACAGCAGGTTGTGTTGCTGCAGCAACGGGGTCCTCTCTGGGAACACTGTCACCTCTGGTGGCACTAGCAAGAGAAAAGAAAGGTCACACAAGGACTGGAGCTTCTATGGGTACTGTGACCACCCTTGACCCATTTCCCAGGCCAGCCAAGTAGAAGCTCTATGTATAGAGACGCCTAAGACCCCTAGACCGAGAAGCATGGATGGACACCCACAAGGAGGATTGGACTCCTGTGTCCCCAGAGTCACCCACTATATTCAAGAGTACTCCAGTCCTCCAACTCCCCGAGAACTCTTGGGATTGTAGAACTAAGACCATGATGTCCTATCCTACAAGGACCATGACTCACAACTGGGGACAGAGCATAGTCACAGTCCCTCTCTATTGCTGTAGTTTTCTTGTCCTGCCTGGTCCCATAGCTGATTTGCCCCAAATAAGCACACAGAGACATGTTAATTATAAAAGTGTTGGCCATGGCTAGGGCTTCTTATTGGCTAGCTCTGTCTTAATTATTAACCCATTTCTATTAATCTAAGTACCGGACCTGTTAATCCGTCCTCTGCTACATGGGGTCTGCAGCCTCTCTCTACCTTCTCTCCCCAGAATTCTCCTTGTCTCCTAGCCCGCCTATCTTCCTGCCTCTATTGGACAGTGTTTTATTCACCAACCAATAAGAGAAACACATATACAGAAGGATGTCCCCATCAGCCCTTACCTATAGCCCTCTTACCTTGAAGTATAAATTTCCTGTCACAAGAAAGCTGACTGACAAAGTGGCTCAGCAAGTAAGGGGGCCACCGAGCCAAAGGACCTGAGTTCCGTCCCTAGGACCCACATGATGGAGAGAGAGAGAACCAACTGCCTCAAGTTGTCCTCTGACCTCTGTGTGTGCACTGTGGGGTGCATGGCACACACACACACACACACACACACACACACACACACACAAATAGATATGATTTAAAACATTTTAAGTGCCTGTCACAAGGCTCTTGCCCTCACTCACCCTCTCTCTCCACGGTGAAAGGGGCCCCCAGCTTGTAGTTCTGCCTGCAGACCAAGTTCACAGAGGCTCGGCTCTGCTCCAGGAGGTCCCAGCGTTTGTTCCACTGCTCAGCATCAGGCTCCCCTAGCTCCGTCAGCGCCACAAACACCCCCAGGTCACTGTCAAAATGTAAGTACTCCTCCAGGTTGAAGATGAACCTGACCACAAAGCGCACCTTTTCTGTGCCGTTGGTGAAGTAACAGTCCGCCTTTGCCTGGATCACAAAATCCTCTGGAAACCACAAAAGGATTAATTAATGGAACCAGCTGCTGCTCTGGGAAACCTTGTACCTAGTACTCCAGTGCAGCTCTGAGAAAGCCTGTGCCTGGTACACCAGTGCAGCTCTAGAAAAGCCTGGTACAGCAAAGCAGTTCTGGGAAAGCCTGTGCCTGATGCAGCAATGCAGCTCTGGGAAAGCCTGTGCCTGGTACAGCAATGCAGCTCTGGGAAAGCCTGTGCCTGGTATACCAAGGAAAAGGGTGCAGATTTGAGAGTCATTTTGACTGCACATGCTCAAAAGCGTATGACTGATGTCTTCAGTACTCAGTGGCATTTATTTAAAATGTGAAATCTACAGGGAAAACAATTCTCAAGAGTGAATCCTCCCCTGCCCAACAAGTGGGTCCTGGGGATTGGACTCATGTTATCAGGTTTGGCAGCACTGTGGCCTTACCCACTGAGCCATTTAAGACCCATTTTACATTCCTGAACACTGTACTCCTGCTGAAAACACACATGGCATGGTATCCATGAGGAGGAAAGGAGAGAGAGGAGGTGGGACAGGAAGAGACAGACTTTCTGTAATGATGACACTCGGTACTCAGTTCTGCACTCTTGAGAATGTGTGACACAGCGGGCAGGTCACAGGAGAGCTCCATGACATGGCTCAAGGCTTCGATTTGAAGGATAATGGCTGTTGTGTTTGAGCTGTGGGTTTGCCCCTGCGTAAGCTCAGCAGCCTCCTCCAGGAACGTCCAGCCTCCTCCCAGAGTGACCTTAATGGACACCAAGGCTCCTTTGTGGGGGTCACAGAGTTCAGATTCGCTCCTTTGTGGGGGTCACAGAGTTCAGATTCCCTCAGTGCCACCCTCCAGTCCCTCAGTGCCACCCTCCAGTGCCTCAGTGCCACCCTCCAGTCCCTCAGTGCCACCCTCCAGTCCCTTGGCATTTCTACCCTTCTCCACTCCATCTTACACTCAAAAGAAGCAAAAGATATGTGGATTTTTCATCGTTTAAAAATCTATGCTGAAGCAAGCCTGGCCTTTAATTCCAGCACTTGGGAGACAGAGGCAGGCCAATCTCTGTGAGTTCGAGGCCAGCCTGGTCTACAGAGCCAGTTACAGGACAGTCAGAGCTACACAGAGAAACCCTGTCTCAGAAACAAACAAGAAAAAAAAAAAACTCTATGCTGATGATTTTTTTTTCATTTGATGAATGAACTCAGAGCATTTTTTTGTTCTCAGAGAAAAAATGATGCTCCCTCCCCAAGGCTTGTGTTTGGTGAGACCCTGACATTAAAGGGGAATCTTTTCTTAGCAGATCACATCCTGTTTTCTGTGCATAACTCCACATTTCATGGTCTAACGATGCCCATGTTTGCATAACTCATCTCCCTGGCTACAAAGTAAGTTACACACAGTAACTTGAGGCCAAAGATAATTAGCATATTCAACTTGTCTGATTTCTTCCCTTACATCAAAACTGCTCAGTACAATGCCGAACACTTACATGGGGTTTAATAGGTGACAGGAGAGGTCATCTCCAATCACTAGATAAGCAGAAAGTCATTACAGGCGTGGACTCTCACTTAGGAGGGTCAGTGCTCTCAGACTCTGGCTTTTATGGCTCTAGTGTCTGATATTGATGCCCAACAAGTAAAAATGTCTTTCTTCCTCCCTACCGCCCCTGGCATCCAAGCCTCAGGTCTGGGCAGTCCTTCTCAGGAAGCTCACTGAGGGCGGTGAAGAGCCCGAGGGCTTCCTGGTCAGACTGCTCTTTAAGTCAGAGCCTCTCCATTCTGAGACTTTGACCTATGGGGAGAGTAACCCCACACCAATTCCAGCAAAGACACCAGAAACAAATCCCTCTTCTTACCTGGGGGGCCTCTGCCTTCAGACATGAAGGAATCTGGCCTCATGAGGTTCACTAGAAGAGCCACCACCCATGGGGCCCTCCCAGCACCCATGCTGGAGGGGACAATGACAGTAAAGAGGCTGATGAGGCCTTTAAAATGGAGCTGTCTTCCACACAACTGAAAAAAAAAAAAAAACACAAAGTACAGATAATTCTCCAGCCTCCCTGAGATTGGGACTATCTTCAGACTATTGACCAATCAAGACTGAAGACTTCTGCATCATTTGTTGCTAGGCAGAACACTTTGATAAAGCTGCATTATAAGAGCCCAAAACTGGTTACCTGGAGAGTCAGCGTCAGTGGTTTAATTCAGGAGGAGGAAAGTCTACAGAGTATGAGGTCCTAGAACAAAGGAGATCGTTTGTTGTGCATCCTCATTTACAGGGTCCCTGAGCTATTCTGACCAAGAGGTGTCCCTTCCTGTAGGGTGGCTGACATTGACAGCAGAGGGTGTGGAACACAGAAGCTGTAGACGCTTTGTGGACGTGGCTCAGAGGGAGTCAGCAGTGGGCTTATCACAAAACAGAAGACAGAGCGGACTGTGTCTTGTATGCCAAGCAAGAAAAGGAGGGAGGAGGAGCCTGAGACAGAAGGAGAGACGGAGACAGAATTCTCAAAAGAATAAAACCATGTAAATATATTCATAAAAACAGAATATAAGGGAACATGGGGGGGGCAGGTCAACGAGATGGCGGATGGGATTCTATGGAACACACTGGCTGGCTGCAGACTGAGCCCCAGTCTCATCATCATCATCATCATCATAGTAATAACAATAATAACAAGTTATAATCATAAAGGCAGTGGTGATCATGACTGACAAAAATTTAAATGGCTGCAATACTGTGCTGCAAATCGCATGGGGAAAGAAGTAGAAATTAACCCACCTCTGCCACCTTAGACAGCTTTCTGTTGCTGTGATCAACACCACAGCCAAAGCTGCTTGCAGAGGAGAGGGCTAATTTCACTCCACGGCTTACCGTCCGTCCATCACTGAGGGAAGTTGCGGCAGGAACTCAAGGAGAAACCTGGATGCAGGAGCTGATGTGGAGGCCATGGAGGGTGCAGCTTACTGACTTGCTCCTCACGGCTTGCTCAGGCTGCCTTCTTATAGAACCCAGGACCACCTACTCAGGGATGGCACCACCCACAGTGGCCCGGCCTTTCCACACCAATCATCAAGTAAAAACAGAATATCCTACTGGCTTACCCAGGCCAAGCTGATGGGGACATTTTCTCAACTGAGGTTCCCTCTTCCTGGATGACCCTAGCTGTGCCGAGTTGGCAGACATGCTGGTGCACAACACACACACACACAAACCGGCTGGTATAACAAAGTGATTTAATGGTATGTATCTTACGCAAGGAATTTTATCCTATTGACATGTTTGTATACATGCGTTTTAGCACCTAAACAAGGCATTTTGGACAATGGTGAATATTTGTAATGACATCACCCAGCCACCCACTTTTTCCGTATGGTCCAGAGGGTGATAAAGAGCTGAGTTTCAAATTTCAAAATGAGTGAGTTAATTAAATATATAGAAAGCAAAATAAATAGAAAAAAATAGCCAGTAGCAGAGAGAAATTGGAGGTAGTATCAAAATGCCATCCACCGGGTGCTCAGAGCACCCAGCAGAGAGGACTAGCATTGCCAACTGAGAGCAAGCAAAGGGAACACACCAAACGGATTCCCAGGGGAAATCACCTGGGGCAGCGCATGGGGGCAGCCAGCTGTGCCACCATAGGCAGGGAGAGTCCTAGCTGAGTGCCCCTGGGGAGAGTGAACCTCAAAGAGCAACAGATAGAGATGGCATTGCCAACAGGAAGCTTTCAATAGCCCAGCAGAAACTGAGGAAACTGAGACAGTCATCTGAAGTCCAGATCAAAAGAACCCTGGATGGAGGATCCTACCTCCCCGGTGAGAGCTTCTTCCAACTTCCCAGGCCCACCACGGGCATTGCTATGCTATGTGATAAACAATAGAAACCTCAGTTAGCGACTGGCTCACCTTCCAGATGTTCTCAAGGATGCTGTGTCTCTAATGCCCTTAGCTGTTTACTGTTTTCTTTTCTCCCTGTGGCAATTGGGAGGCCTGTAACATGAATAACAAAAACCCAGAGACAGATACTGGGGTTCAAGCTGAAGATCAGAGAAGCAAAGCAGCCAGCCAGTAGCTCTCACCTCTACCAAGGCTGCAATGGAGATCCTGTCTCCCTGTGACTGGAAACTGAATCTCACGTGAGACCCTTTGCTTCTTCCTCACAGACCTCTCTAGTGCTGGGATTGAAGGTGTGAGCTCTGTTTCTCTTTTAGACTGATTTCACTCTCGTGAAGCCCAGGGTGGTCTTGAACTCAGAGATCCACCTGCCTCTGTCTCCTGAGTCCTGGGATTAAAGGTGTGTGCCACCACTGCCTGGCCTCTATGGTTAACTAGTTTGGCTAGATATACATTCTGATCTCCAGGCGATCATAAACAATATCTCACCACAAAGGCCAGCCTGGCCCAGGGCAGGAATTTTGGAGGAGAAGGGGAAGGGGAAGGAGCCTCCTCACTCCCAGAGTCAACTTCTAATGGGCGTAAGTAACATGTGAGTGTTTACCATTGTAATGTGCACTGACCGGTGACAGGCGAGTCTGTGAAATAGGGTATGGAATAGCTGCACGCTTTCAGTGTAAAAAAGTAAATTTCAGTGGCCATTGGTGGTGCACGCCTTTAATCCCAGCACTCGGGAGGCAGAGGCAGGTGGATCTCTGTGAGTTCGAGACCAGCCTGGTCTACAGAGAGAGTTCCAGGACAGGCTCCAAAGCCACACAGAGAAACCCTATTTCAACCCCTCCGCCCCGAGAAAAAAAAGATTTCATGGAGTGGGTGTGAATGAGTAGACGTGTGGGGAGAAAGAGTAACAGTGGCCCTGACTGTGTGTAGGTAGAGTGGAGGTAAGAGGTTGCTGGGTCTCACCATACTACCTAGTGTGCCCTCAAATGACTCCGAAAGCCTTTGACTTGCTCCCTTCTTGGCCCCCCAACCCCTGCCCCAAGCTTTAGGTTCCTGGCTCCTCTGGTGACTGTTTCCGGACATCCCAGGCAAAGAATAGCTGTGGGACCTCCAGTCTCCTCAGCCACCTCAGCAGCACATGGTCCTTGGGGACCTGGACCTCCTGTCCTTCCCACTTCCTTGTGCTTGTGGCCCGGGAGTCAATGTCCCTTGCTGGGCTTTTCCCTGGAACTCATTTTCCTCTTTGTGTGCTTTTGTAGAAAAAGTAGGGGCTGGTTCAGGGACAGCTGTCATTCACAAGCCTGTCAACAAAGCAGCCAGTGCAGGGGTGGGGATGAAGGGAGTAAATTTCAGAAAAGCACATTTAGAGAGCTGTTCTTTGGGAAAGTGTGAAGCAGGAATTTGCACACTTACGTAGCACAACTTTCTATTGCTGAGACAAAAGCCATGTCCAAAGTGACTCCAGAAGAAAGCGGTTGTGGCCTTACATAAATCTCCGTTACATTTTCATCTTTGAGGGAAGCCAAAGCAGGCACTCAAGCCTGGAGGCGGGAGCGTGAAGGAATGCTGCTTACCAGCTTGCTCCCCAGGCTTGCTCTGCCTGGTTTCTTACATGACCAGGGACCACCTGCCCAGGGTGGCACCTTCCACAGTGAGCTGGGCCTCCCACGTCAATCGTCAGTCAAGGAATTGCACCCCAGGCTTGCTCAAGGCCAGTCTGGCAGGGGCATTTTCTCAATTGAGGTTCCCTCTTCCCAGACAACCCTAACTGTGTCAGGTCAACAATAACCAACCACGACAACATATTTGCTTAAATGTAGGTAAAGTCTCTCCAGAACGACAAGCCCGAAGCTGAGAACGGGATCTTCTGGCCAGCAATGGAGTGACCAAGTGAAGGGCTCCTCTTCGTCTTTTGAATCTTCAGCCACATTAGTATATTACACACTCATACATTTTAGAAGGAGAATAGTGAGAGAATAAATGTTTACAAGTGTTTGGAGACTTTTGGTCACAGTCAAAATCCACTTTGTCCAAGAGTGAGACCCTAAACTGTCAGGTTAGTGACAGTTTCTAAACTTTTGCTCTTATTTTCAGGGTTGTGATAGTCACACCTGCCACATGGGGTCATCATCAGAATAAAATAAGGGGATGCATGTCCTGCACAGGTGCAGCCAGAGCATTCGGGAAGCACCCACGGAATACTTAGTAACTTCCTAAGAGTCCCCAGAATGACCCACTATTTTCTAGAGCCACCAGATGGCATCAAAGTCACACCAACACTGGCCTCTAGTTCTATGGAATAAGGAAGGTTTTATCCCCCAACCCTGACTACTCCACATTCCTCCTGGGAATCCGTGGAGGCTGTGTAACCTCCAGGAGGCCATCACACTGTGCGAGAGGATTTGAGGCTGGATGCTGTCCCCATGGAGAACAGAACAGACCAGAGAGCTGTCTGGATGTCCCAAAGAAACCCGCAAAGCTTTCCTAAGAGTGTTCCCTCCCCCGTTCATATTTTCCTTTAGAAAGACAGAGCCTTCCCTACCCACCACCCTTTACCAAAACACCAACGCAGAATGGATCAAAGACTTGGATGTAAGAGCTGGAAACACAGCTACGGAGGTACTGCAACATCCAGATGTGAGTGGTGACTGGAAAGTGTCCTGTAACCAGGGGGAGTGAGAGTTGAAAGGTGGGGATGCATTGGATTAAAAAGCTTCTGAAGATCCAAAGAAACAGAATGGGAGAGACAGACAGAAGCGGAGAGAACGCTTGGCCAGTTGTCTGCCCGACAGGAGAGCAATACCCAGAACATGCAACAATCTCAGAACTTCAGGCACTAAAAAGCAAACAACTCAATCAGCAAATGAAGACACTTTTCAGTTGAGCACTTGCTTGTGGTACTGGGAACCAATCCTGGGCCTTCCACCTGCCAGACTAGCTCTGCCCCCACGGGAAGCCCTGGAAAGACATCATTCAAATGAATAATGCATGACACCAATGCACACATGGGCAAAGCTCATGAATCAGGAAGTGAGGGGTTAACAGAACACGGGGGGCGGGCGTGTGAAATGGGAAGGGGAAAGGATGGGGAAGAAAGGGGTTA